TAATAAATAGCTTTGTGCATCCATGGAATGGACGAAAAACAGAGCTGAAAATGGAAAGATTTTTAACAATTTTGGAACAACAAGAAGCTACGAATAGGAAGAAAATAACCAAAATATATAGAGAATTGAGAAGAAACAATCAAAATGTCCAAGAATCTGTCAAAGGAGGTGTCACAAAAGGAAGATACGGAGAAAATAAAAATTATTTTCGGGGATAATACAACGTATCGACTACTAATAAAAGACCCAACATATAAAATCAAAAGGGCACAGCAAGAACTACTGACGCAAATGAATAGAAACGAGGAAATCGTCAAATTGTCAATAAGCTAACACAGAAAATGATGCAAGAGCCCCAGTAGCATATGGTTTGCTGAAGGTAGACAACGAAGGAGAAACATTGAGACTGCTAATCAACAATAAACATGAACCGACACAGATTGGCGAAAATTATCTTCCACAAATTAAACAAAGTGAATGACAGATTATCGAATACAGTGAAGAACTCATACGAATATTGAAAATAATAAAGACGCTAAGTTGGAAGGAAACGAACTTTTAGTTAGCTTTGATATAAAGTCCATGTATAATAACATTACAGAAGAAAAAACAATCACCGCATAACTAGAGATCTTGAGAAAAAAGACATCCTGGGGATGGAACGAATGCGTAGATATTCCCTAACCTGATTGATCAACTTAACAATAAGAACGACCTATTTCACATTCAACGACCGCATCTATGAACAAATATTTGGTTTGCCTATGGGCTCACCACTCTCACTTCTGCTGGCCAATGCTTTCATGGAACATTTGGAGGAGAATTCCAGAATTTCACTCCAGCAGACAACAATAGTTATGCAATATTTAAATAAATACTTCGCAAATTAATCGTATGGAAAATAAAAGTTGGTTGATTTCCTGAGCTTCATAAACTCCACATGACGGACGAAAGCTCAACGTGAATTCATCGGGGTCGCAGGGTGGTGCGCCGAGGGCCTATTCACCGTTCCAAGGCAATCTCAATATCAACAGTTGATAATGCTTTATATACTATAGTGTTTTGCTTATATTAAACCTTTGCTTTTCAATACTATATACTTTTTCTTAGCTACTAAATTCAATTAGGCAATGGAGAAAGAATCAACAAATTTTAAACAATATTAGGCTTGCTTAATGGAATTGAATCAAAAAATCTGAATTAATAGACTGCAATTTTAGGAAATTTTCGCAGGACGAATTATTTGTACTAATCTCGACCTATCACTATTTTAAATTTCCTCCTGTTATGGAAGACGACAATTATACGTTTACTTCCCTGAATAATAATGCAGTGTCACATTGATTTTGGCATTCACTAAGGCATATATGAGGAGAAACCGAATTTCGCAAAAAAACCTAATTAAATCATATTTTCCTAGCTCAAATTTCCTCTGGAAAGGGGGGTCGAAGGGATTCGTCTATTTGTCTTATCGGAAACCGAAAAGGTTGAGGGTTTCATTGTGGCTTTGTGTATCAGTCGAAACTCCAAAGCTATCATCGAACGGTTGCCAGTGAAACCAGTTCGTGAATCCCTTCGCCTACCTTTCCAAATGAAATAAAGGGGATGCGTTTAGAAGCTCACAATTATTTCTTTAAGAATATAAATCTATTTCATAGTTTCTATACATTTTGCTTTGCTGATTTCTTCTGGAATAGCGATGAAACACGGGCTGCCAGGACGGTTATTACCGATTTATGAGAAATGTATTTTATATCATAGTATCAACAAATTCTTTTTTTTGAAATAAATTACTGCAGAATAATGATGTATTTAAATGCTATTCCTTTCTTCTTATCCTCCCCCCCCCGCATAGTAAAGTTGTATTGTGTCACTCTAGGTCACAGAAGATGATTCACTGGGAGTTGAATCTTCTCACGTTTACATTTGCAAAGCCTTGCTTTCCATAAGGTAACTTTTATTTGACTTCGTTTTCCCAACTTGATCGGAGCGATAGGGAGACCTTATGAAACGTATCCAATACTGAATCCCCTGCCAGAGTATTCATGAGAACTTTCAGCATCAGGCCGTTAAATTGGTACATTTCCAAGTGTACGGCCCGATGTTAAGAAATATTTACGAAAAATAGATCAATCCAACACCATACAGCTAAGGGTGACTACAACCAATCCAGAGGCCACATTATCTAGGTCTTCATATTTCCATAATGTACTTTCAAAACCTATTCAAACCGCATTTACAACGACATTCTCGTTGACTTTTTCCTTAAATCGAAATCCTGTTTACCCAATTCTCCTCGCACCAATGAAATAAACTTTCATTTCTCAGAAGTACTTGATGGGAACTTAGTCCGCTTTCACGGTCTTCTGGCAATAGACACTGCTGGAAGCGACGCACATAGTCTGAGTAAAAAGAAATCAAGGACACAAACTCAACTGTTCAAAATTGCGAGTGGTAGAATTTTGAAACTTCTAACACCTTAAATGAATTCCATCCCAAATAAATTGGTTTCTTCTCAGCAAAATCACCTTCTGATTGGATTTGTTCCATCAAAACAAGCCTTGTGTTTAGACTTGTGCAGAAACAGATGAAACATCTTACCAGTCAAAGCAACCGTTCCAAGTTAGCTAGAATTGTAACTATTATATCGTCGTTCAAAGTCGTGGAGCCAAATCGACAGTTTAGGGATGCCAAGATAGAAATAATCGTAAGTGGAATATCACATAATAGACGCAAGCTCAGCCCCTTATTATTACAGAAACAGCATAGTTATTCAAGCAACTTTATATAATTAGATCTTTGATTTGGTGTGAAAATTTCAATCAAAGGTATTCGTAGATTGACCCAGGGGCATTCGTGGCAATGTGGCGTAGTGGAATCATGTGCTGAGGAGACCTAGACGGGGTCAAAACTATAGTTTATTACATCCTGAAGGATAATCTCTTTGAAGAATCAAGATTTTGTGAAAATGCAATGTAAGCGTGAGGCCCATCCATATCATTGTGTGAACATTCAATTACCAGTTCTTCATCACCTTAGTAGAAATAAGATGAATATAAGTCCCATATACTAAACCTATGGTTGTCTCGAAGGCCGAGTTACAAGCGGGAAATGATAATTTGAGTCAGTCTGACTCATTTTTGGTGATGTAAGAACTGATGCTTGGATTTTCCACAAGAACAACCGATAGATTTTTGATTCATTCGTGAAATCAATGTTTAGTCGAGAAGGCTGGCTCACTGCAATACTAACTACTTAATCCATCAGCAACCACAAATCCTGCCTAACTATTTACAACTTTGTCTTGCAATCCTAACGACAGATCCTCTGAATTAGTTGATCATTTCATGCAACTCCTCGAATAATTTAAGATGAATTTAACTTATTTAACTGTGGCCGAACATTCGATTCCTTGTACATACTAAGAGTAATTGTTTTTCGAAGAATCCCCTGAGATAACTGCATCCGCTTTAGTACGGCGTTGAGGTTGACATAGTCCACGAGACTTCCTCCTTAGTTTCGGATGACAACGAGCTGGGCTTTATTTCATCATATGATTGATATCCTAAAATCTGCTACACATTGTTGTAAAAGTCTCAAGTAAACATAAAGTCAAAACGAATCATTCTTTTGCAATATTTCGCCATTTAGCATGTTGGCAGTTTTGCCAATTCCTGTACTCAATTTTTTATTGGGATACCATCTATTTTTGCTGATGGCTAAAATCGGGTGTAGATTGTGCTCCTGAGTGGCCTACAGCTTGAAATTTGCAGATCACATACTTCAAAAGAGCCAAGAAGTTGAAGAGAAGCTGGGTTTCTAAGACTCTTATTAGAATGATACTGGAATACCTTTCATGTTGTTTGAGACGGTGGGTGGAAGGGATTGTAAAATGGCCTCATCGGATACCGAAGGGGAGTTGCCTTTGACTTTTTTCCTGTCGAATTGTGCGAAGAAGACCTCGGCTCACAGTCCTACGACCCCAATAAATCCGAGCCGAACTTTTGTCCGTCCTGTGACGGACATCGTCAGAGCCAGAAACCATTATTCACGAGCAATCACCAAAAACACCAAACCAAGAAAGGTGGCCAGCTGGGATCCTACTTACATCCTACGCCTCACTTTGCGAGCTTAATGATGCATTCAAAGATTTGGTTGCGTGTCTTATGCCCATTCTACATGCATTTTAAGTGAATTAAAGTGACGCAGGAACGGAAGTGGATATGGTCACAGCTTGTGTCTATGTAAATAAACTAACATATAATTCAAAATTCCAACCTTAATCTTGTAACTATGGTTGGAGAGAAAATTAAGCAAAGAGCCAACATATGTTGGCTTCCCATAAACATATCTTCCTAACTAACCCTCTAGTCTAATGATGATAACATCCAGAAAAGGTAATGACTTATTCTCTTCCATTCCCATCGTGAACCTAATGTTCCTTTCACGCTGGTTGAGAGAAAGTAGGAAACTATCTAACCTTTCATACGAAATGAAAGTCCTCCCAACAATAGTATCAAGCAGACAATGTGCCTATCAAAATAAGTGCATGTTTCCGCTCTTGTATGCACACTCCAATCAAATTGCATTTCGAGAATTTTCCAAACTCTATTTTGCCTTGCATTCGTTTGAAGAGGTGAGTGTAAGTGATTCTTAAGTTGATTCCACCTGAGGTTGTGGGGGGTTGCCTTGGAGCTGTGGTTGTAAATTTGTGCGAATAAGGCCTCGGCAACCCCCCCCCCTACAGGCTCCGGAGGAACCAACTTACGAATCCCTTCCACTCGCCTCTTCGAGTGAAATGAAAGGTCCTCCAACATTAATCTATTAAGAGATTCTTCGCAACCCAGTCTTTCTACATACCTAATGTACCCTCTATTTGCTTCCTCTTCTACTTGCAGCTTATAATCAACTACCACTTACCAGATGTGGACTCGCACACCTACTATCGTTGGCCTTCAGTGCGCAAAGACTATCCCATTGGTCTTTTGGATGGTCTGGAAATGTATAGCCCGTTTGGGGGCCTTATTTGGCTGCTCTGTCGACGTCGCCCGGGTTGGGTGCAGGAACTTTCTGAAAATAATAAAAAGAGACACACTAAAGGAAGCATTCGAAGTCCGAAGAGACGGTTGCGCGACAAGTTGAACGGAGAAGTTGATATAAAGGATATCTTCTATACTAAACAAACGTGGAATGACGATATCGAGGCCATAAACATGCCGGAAGAACGGGATGGAGAGGAAGCTCCGGCAGAAGAAGATGATGAAGTGGAATACAGCACGACGACCATTCGTCTGGCCTTAGAGGGAGTCGAGTTAACCGCCAACTTCGACCTGCTGGATCATCTGAAAAGTGACCAACAAAGTTACGCTGGTACTCGGGCTGATGTGAGACGGGCCTCGAGCTGGTTGGCTCAGTCACTTATCTGGCCCCGGCGTCAGCGCAGGCTGAGAGCGCCATGGGCGACGGTGTCTGGCGAAAGTCTGGTGTTGGCAGTTCCCAGTCGAGCTGTCGCTCAGTTGACTCGTCCCCAAAGGGCCCTGCAGTGGATGGATGCTGGCATAAGCGAGGTGAGCGACAGAGCATGATGTGGCGCACTGTCATGATGGAAGCATCAGGCAAATCTTGGGGGAGATATGGGAAAACGATTAAGAAATGAATATAGGCAGCAATACTTGCTTCCGCGGTGGGCTGGGCCAAATTACTATGACTTCCAGTTGTTCAGGCTAAAACGCTT